AATATGTAGGTGTGATTTTTCTCTTTTATTTTATTTATTTTTTTTTTTGTGCATCTAATTCAAACACAGACACAATTTGGCAACAACAAAATAGAACAATCAAAATAAAGCTTTGAGAAGTTTTACAAGGCCAAATTCACAAAATCAAAAAAATTACGATCATTTCATGCCACACACTAGCTCATTCACTCGCTCCCTCTCTCTCTTTCTCTCTCTTGTTTCAAACATAGAAAAGCTTATTACAAAAATAGCGAGAAACTAAATATTGATACGTTATTTCTTAGGACCGAAATTCATTCGAAATAAAAATAAATGAAATAGCCTGACGATTTGATAATTTATACGCACTTGATTTTATTTTACTTCAAACAAAAAGACAAGCAACAATTTCTACACCGACAATATATATACTTTTTTTTTGTTTTTTAGGTAGCAAAGAGGGGTGAGCCCAATCCGTGCTATTTACGACAAATATTGTTGTTGGACAATAGCTTTCTTTGAACTATATAAGACACTATCTCTAACATTCAAAGGAAATTAGTTATTTTTTTTTAATCTTAAGTCAGGTCAAATTGTTGGATTATGTCTGCCAAACAACATATTAGAAACAAAAAAAAGCAATGTGCTCTAAATATGTTCAATGTCTTCCTTTTTGTGGTAGATAATTGAACACCATCGGCCATTGTGTCGTTTTTTATTGTGTAAATGTCTTGTCTCTCATAAAAAAATGAAAGAAAGCACACAATCCCGATTCAAAAATTGAAATGACCAGCACTTTTGAAAACATTATTCAACACAGCACAAAACCACTACTCGTACAACGTTTACAAGCGAAATTAAACAAAAAATACAAATTTCTGCTCTCTCAAGTCGAAATTAAATAAAAGTTATCTAGACCCCAACATCGAAATGAAAGAATCGTTATTATATTTTGTGTGTGTGTGTGTTTTTCTCTAACACTAACAATGCATGATCATAAAAATACAATTTCTTTCACGTGTGAACTCGAACATTTTAATTTTTTTTTTCTTTCCTTCTGAATCATCATCATCGGGAAAATATTGTGTATGTGTGAAAAATGTATGAGTTTTGTCGAGGTTTCACTATAGTTTTAGTTACATTTACGTTGTAAATTTCAAGATATGTTTTTCTCTAATCAATTATTAGGTATACGATGATCTCTTTGGTTATAAGCTTTGTTTAAGGCCTTTGTTACAGCTCGGACAATTATTCCAATCAAGCGCGAATGAGATAAGATCGAAATTTCTATATTAAAATTAACATCACACAATTGGTGTAGACTATAATATAATCGCAAATCGGTGTTTGTTGTTTCACGAATAGTTAATGTTTGTTTAATTTCAACCTCACACAATTGAAATGTGAGCATCAATCAATTCAATATTGGCGATTACAAACAACTTTTTGGCCGATTACAATTGAGAGATCGCTTCAATTCAATTAGTGGCAGGAAAACCTACAGAAAACAAATTTATGTTTCGTCCGAACTGTAAAAATGGCTTACATCATAGATCCATTTATATGATTTTTAATTTAAATGTGTATATATTTATATTAAATATATGTATACTATATATGTAACGTGATATATCACTTCCATAAGAATAAGTTTCCATTTTAGTGTTGCTTTATCTGTTTGTTTGTTTGTTTTCTTCTTATTTTTGTGTGTTGTCTTTTA